GAACTGTACGAACTTTATTATGGTATAAATATTCGGAGAATTAATATACAGCGGCTTTACTGTTTGAATAAAAAAGCTAAATAGGTATTTGAAGAGACAATTGAAAGAAACAGACGTAGGAAATGATAATGTCTTTAATAAATCGAATAAGTTGAGAGAATGCTGACCACTCCTGATATACGAAACTGAAGAAGAAGCTCACGAAGTGAAAATGTCTGGAGACGAGTGATATGTCAGATCAAAACGCGTTAATGGTTTTGTTAGACTCAACTGACTAAGTTCAAATAAAGAATATATTGAGCGATTGAGCTCTTAAGGTCCAATAGATATGTTTCTCCTTTTAGTAATCCATAAGTGCTTAAGAAAAAGAGAGTAAGTGTTAAGTGATTTGAGTAGGATATAGGCGAACGATTGAATATAAATGTCCAACAAACGTTTAAACAACATTCGTTCGTTATAATATTAATGATTATATCCAATGCTCGATTTTACTGCACACTCTCCCTAAAGTGCAGAGTATGGAATACAACTGAGTAGCCAGCGACTGTAGTCTAATCTTACAGCATACTGAAATTACGCATTTGGTCAACTCCGTTTTTGATATTTCTAGTTACTTTGGTTTAATGATTACAGTAGCGGCAAGGGATACGTCTTGGAACCATTAGTCATTTTTGACGACCAATTGCTGTTCACCCTTCCTAAAAGTAACTATTACACGGGTATAGTGGAATTTCCAGAGGTTATCACAATAACAACTATAATTTAAACGTACGTTTGATTATTATATGGAATACAATAGCTAGAGATTTTTGACATTTCTAGCTACGATACAAAAGTTACTGTACTTACGTATGGATTGAATATAAGACTGAGATAAGTTTAAAAACTACTAGTAAAGAATATATATATATATCAGTGTTAACGCTCGCAAAAACATTAGGTAACTATTACACTTCAGTGATATTGAAATTAAAATGTTAATGATTAATGTGTTAAAGAGCACCACGTTCTCAACCCCTATATTATATATATGAACATATTATGTCTTGAATTACTAATAAATTTTCTTAGAAAAAATATTCCTATAAAGAGGGTCCTATAAAAAAAGTAAACTAAATATTCTTCTATTCTAAACTTAACATTTAAACGTGTTAGATTTAATCTACTCGTTTTTTATAATCTATTACTTATCGACGTGTAGTTCGATTATCGCCTGAACATTGAACCTGCTGCGATAGGTCAGGCGCTTAAACTATTCATTTTTTAGTGATTGTTTATACTCTTTAATCATTATAATTTCTAGTAATAAAATTTAATAAAATTTATTTTAAAATAAAATTCTTTTTCTAAATTTATTAAGCCCCTTAGTCACGATGACTTATGCATTTCCATTTGATTATTTTAGAAAAATTTCAATATGCAAATAAATTGCGTTTCTTCGTGCCTAGATTCAGTGTAAAAAGTGCAA